TGGAATGAAACTCATAGAGATGAAATATTTTCAACAGCTATCTCAATTGAATCATATTTATGATTTATTCTTCTTCATTTATTCAAAGACGACAAACAAGATGAAAAATGTCACAATTGGTGTGAAGGCACATGTCAGTGTCGTTGAGTAATTGAGTCTTTACAGTACACTGGGGGTTGTAACATACTGAGTGATTACACAACACAAGAAGGCAGTATTTGGTTTTAGTTACCCAGAGGAAACACTCTCAATCCACCCCTATGTTTTCAATTTACTAGTACAATGAAACTTGATCCCACATCTTACATAAATTACAGTAGTACCGGTTTTGGGTTTTTGATTCATTGGACAACTTCCGACAGTTATTTTTTTAGTAATCAAGGGTAAGGCTAGGATGGAAAATTTGTCAGAAATTAGCAGGAAAATCATCATCAACATTTTTCATATGCATAGTTGCAAGCCATTTATATTTTTAAGGACATTCATGGGAAAGGAATCTTGCAAAGTAGCCGTGACTCATTGCCTTGAAGTTATATTCAGACAAGCTGAAAACATACAAAGAATAATCTTATTGCAAAAAAATATTTATATATAATATTAAAAATAGTTATCCTGTACAGACCTTTTCACACATTTCTGGAGTATTGGAGGTTTTTATAGACAAACACACCTATAATGTTAAAACTGAGTTTCAAGGACAAACATAATTCTTTAAGTAAATCTGAGAGGTCTGCTTAAATCCACATTCAGTCTGCAGGTGAATTCTCATTACTTGGTAGCATATTTTGTGGTGTATATATACTGGTAAGGGATGGTACCTCACAGATTTTAAAAACTGTGAATGCAACTTTAATCATTATCCTGCCAGCCACATTTAGTTTTAGATTGATAAGACAAGGTAAGGGTGTGAGATACAAAAATGTTGCAATTTTCTCCAATTATTTCTCTGGTGAAAGTGCACCAGTTTTCATTGTAATATTCTACATGTTAGTATAAGAAGACTAAAGGCAACAAAGGAGTGCAGAAAAATAACATTTACGTTTTTGGTTCATGCAACAAAACAACAAAGCCATGTACCACATGTATATTCATTTTGTTTCATGTTTCACAGCAAGCTGATACTTGATATAAGTATGCTATAATTAATACTGTCATTCTGTCAGGATCTGACTGCAACAGCACGGGTGTAAGGTATCACCAAATTTACCACAAGAGAATTCAGAGTAAATACAATACATGGATGAGTGAAGACGAAAAAGCTACAAAAGCAGAAACCCATGAATAGTGAGAGGTTGGTGTAATAAAGGTTAACCAAGTGACAACCAAGATAAATGCAGTTGGATAATAAATAACAGTTATTCTTGGGTGATATATTCTATATGGACACACCCCCAAACACTAAACCCAGGGCAGCATGTACATGTATGTACATTGTATGGAACCACCAATTCACTATAGACAGGTCTATAGCTGTTGCATGTTTAAATACAATAATTCAAAAGACCCAAATGTATTGATTCACAAGGTACATGTACCTTGGCACGTACTAGAACAGATTTACCTACACATCTGATACAAGTTCCATCTCCTACAGTCGGTTTTAGACAGCACTGTTCCATTTGTCAGGTTGAATAAATACCTTGGAAAAGAAGGACTACGGTTTGCAGAGTAAAATATTTCTGTAATTTATGAAATTATTTGTCAACTCTGGGTATTAAAAAAATCATAACATTTTTTTTTTGTAATGACTATGAAACACACAAGTCTGAAGTTTATAATTTTAAATATGTATTACTGGTTTTCAACCATGACTAGCACAACAAACCAAAACAAAAACAAGCTACAACACCAGAATTTTGAACAGAACACACACTAACAATAATCAAATAAAGTGGAATCAATGAACAATATTGTGAAATTGTGACTAACGATATTATATTAATCAGTTTTTGAGTTAGTTCCACGTTTTTATTCACTTCAATTGTTATGCTAATAATATTTCTCCAAAATTATGAATCTATTTGCTCTATCCTGTATGTGTATAATTTATTTGGTGGTAATCTATTGCAAATATTTTATCCAAACCATAACTTATAAACCAAATTCTTGGTGTTTTATCTATTCTGAAAATTGAGATGATGACAAAGACAGCTGTTATCTCCTAAAGCATAGTTTCGTGCTGAATCACAATACAACATGTCCAACAGAAATTATGTCAAATCAAGGAAACCGCAGTCGCGTCATTTTTCAGCAACAAATTTATATGCGATCGGTTCAAGTATACAAGAAGCAAAGATGTTGAATTGACAACACGTGCAAAATGTCATGTGTACGAGGTCAAATTCAATACACCTTGTCGTTGACCCTTAATTTTAAATCAAACACTTGGCTGAAGTCGATTGCATTTATTCAAATGATTGTGTAAACATCCTATTTTCAATCATGGGAATACTGTCAACGACCTGAGACACAACTCTCAATCCTGGCGCTTCGGGGAGGGATGTTCTAAAGTGGTTATTATTAAACAGGACTCCAGCGTTTTCAAAGAGACACAACAAAGATGCTTTTAAAAAAGCCGCTTCCGCTGTCAGTCACTATAAACCCCGACAAAGATCAATATTTACGTGTCGATCATATTGGCAATGAGATTGAGTGAACATACACAACTAGGAGTAAAATTTGAGGTCCTGACACTAGTCGCGAACGCCTTGTTAGCAAAGAAAACCGAATCCATCAATATAATGTTGACATCGAGCGGCGCGCCACTCGAATCAGCAAGTCGACCTGCAGTGCAACGCTGACTGGCTGCGAGCCTTTCACGGACATGCTACAATTATTTGGATTTACCACTTACCTGGGCCGGCGTAGAAGGCACCCTCGCCGTCTGGGGACGAGTCACTCGTACTTCCCACTGAACTCATAGTTTGGTTGTTATCAAAAAATTCCCGAGTTCATGATTATCACAATTTTAGAATGGTAAACATAAGCTCCCCGTTCAAGTTGTCGGCCATATTGAATCTAACGTGACCCTTACACGAAGGACTCCGAGGGCAACCGAACTGTTAAATGACGTCATTGAATAACCTTGTCGACCCGAAACTGCTGCTGACTAGAAGAACACCTCTGAGTCGGGCGTTTGAGCACGTTTTCACAACTTTCATAATTATTCAGCGAGTGGCAAAGGCAAATGTTTTTACTGATGGACGTCTTTTCGATCAACATGACTTAAAAACAATTAAATATGAAATGAACAAATCAGCTCGATAAGATGGTGCAAACTAACATTAACTAAGAACGTAAAGCTTTTAAAAACAAAAATCAAAATTAAAATTAGTTATTGTAGATAAATTACTTCAATCAAAATCTTCAATCATCAAAATATGACAGATATGAGGAAAAGGCGTTTTGAGGATTGTAAATTGGTACTAAACGATAAAACTAATAGGACATCAACTGTTATTAACATTCTAAAAGCTAGTATATCACACCAGTAAATTATTTGAAAAACGGATGCCTAAAAAGTTATATTGTCAATTTATATATCCACTGCATTATTTCAATGTGTCGAGTATGAAGATTTGTTCGCATTCACACTGCCCTCTGGCGGAGACATTGTGTAATACTGTTTATTATTATTCACACTGTGTATTAGCATGGCTCTCATCTTCTAATATTTTTTACGCCCAAGAGACTTTTGTTTTAATGATGTCATCCCTGGTGCGTGTTTAGCTACTCGGCGCATCCACTATACCGGCGAAATTTGAATTACGCCCTCATATCTGTATATTTATAACATAGCAGGATTCGTTTATTTAAATTTTCTAGTACCATGCGTTTCACAGCAAGATAGATCAACCATGAACATGAGAATAAGTCCAATAATTATTTGCATACACTGTAGTAGAGTTTTAAGTCAGTAATTGAACTTGTCAGTTGTTTTGTTTTGTTCTTGTGGATTGTTTAGTTAATAGTTCAACTTCTTGCCCCCTTTGTGTTGTGACTTGAACTGTGCAATTTTTGTCTACACTTGGGTATGTTATTTCCACTTCATAATTGGTGCATGAAAATAAGAAAAGAAACGGGAATGAGGATGGTTGTCATACCAACAACAACCAATTCCAATATATACTAGTACAGTATTTAAAACTTTTCGATTTATTCCAATGTTGTAAGTTTCAAATATTTAAAAAATGACTGTCGTGTCCATTTTCCCTTTTGCATAGAAACAAGTCTGGTTAAAACTAGGCACATATAGATGTATTCTGTAAACTATCAACGTATTAAATAATTTACGTTCAGAAAACATTTTCCCACAAATTATAATTTTGCAAACGTGCTTACCGTCCCTAGTTTTCAAGTTATTAAAGTGTGAGCGGCAGATAGTGTAAGGAAATATCATGATTGCAAAGAATATATCACATGTGTTTTCCGAGAAAGAAAATGTGATATAAACTACTAGTATGATAAACAAACACATATTATGTATGAAGAAGCTAACCACGCCATCCTATCAGAAATAATCAAACGCCAGGCGAATTTATTACGGTGTCCATTCGATTCACGACCGTCATGTGGGAATCAGCAGAAAAAGGTGGAAATACGGAGCAGACAACTTCATTGAAAATGTCGCGGTACGGATATTCTCTAGATCACGAGATAAATTCAAACGCACAAATTTCTGCCATTATTGTCTTAATTATGAACCATTGTAGTACTCTCATCGAGTCAAAGATACTAGTATTCTTTCATCTTTATAAATATTCATAAATTTCAATGACAGTTGAATTCAACCATGTAAGCAATCTACGGGCACTGTGCACAACAACGTCATTTGAAACGTCCCAATGTTATTAAATCGGTTTTAAATCTCGTTTCAGTTTGAATTGAAGTTGTTGCGTTGAGAGTATCGCGTAAGAAAATAAAAATAAATTGTAAAATTGTTCCGTTTAATTTTTTTGTTTTTATAGAAACAAGCCACATAATGCGCTTCTCCCATTGTATCACTTCCTTATAGCTCTACTGCAAGTCCAGAACAGTTTGTAGAGCCCTCTTTGTAGCTCGCATTAAATGCCATCGTATACACTAACGACCTAATTTGACCCCTGACCTCTGCGATCTCATCGGCTGTCGCTTTTCAAATTCCATGAATTGTTCAAACTTATCAGAGATGGCCGGACATGAACACACGAGTTCATCAATTCATGAAATAATCAATTTAAATGTTGGTGGAAAGTTGTACAGTACGACCAGATCGACTCTGACGAGATATCCTGACACGATGCTTGGTGCGATGTTCAGCGGTCGAATGCCGAGTCTGAAAGACGCTCACGGAAACTATTTTATCGACCGCAATGGCGATATGTTCAAATACATCCTGGAATTTCTGCGCAATGGGTCGATTCATCTGCCAGAAGATTTTAAAGATTTTGGTGCTCTCGCTGTGGAAGCCGATTTTTATCAAATTGCTGAAATTTCTGAATATTTAGATAAAAAGTCCAAATCCGCAGACGAAGACATTTTGGAAATCGAGTATCATAGAAATGAGTTTCAATGTGGTTGGATAATTTATTCATCGGATGACGTTTTGAAATCTCTGACTTCTATTGGTTGTTTTTACGACGAATCAAATCAAAGATTAGTCAAACTTGGTCACAGACGTTCAGAAATCAAAAAGAAATACGAAGAGGAAGGTTTGTACTGCGATCTCAAACACAGTGAGAGGGCGCTGTTTCTTAACCGAGTTGCGCTTTTCAAAGATTTGAGTCGAGTTGGATTTCGACTCCTCAGTAGCACTTCATACGCATCGGCGGGAACAGCTGTTAATCGATGGACCTTCAGTCGATAAAAACGTTAGTCGCTGGAAATTGAAAGAAACATGCATAAGTTTGTTTTCGGTGACTACTTCACGATGACTTACAGTTGAAGTTTCAGTATTTTAAAATCCAACAGTGGATAATAATAACTCTGTCAATATAATACACGTAGAGGTAACCCTGGAGCATTTTAGAGCAATGAATTCGTGTTATTGTCTACGTAGAGCAAAATATCACTGTTGTCTTCCCCATGAAAATTTGTAATTTACAGGCTATATGATCCATTGGTGTGAATGCCATGGATACCAGGATGTCTGTATAATTATTATTTTGATTTGCCGCGAATCCTTCTTGACTACCACAGGCGCTCGGTATGTTTCCGTGATAATAAAAGAAATATACAATAGGGTATTATCACTGAAACATAGTACCGAGCGCCTGTGCTTCACTACGTGACCAACATTTGGATTTCGTTTCACAGAAGAAAATATCAGATAATGAAAAATCCAACAGTTTTTCCACAAGATGATTGGTTTTATTGATTGGTCTTGATGATTGGTTAGGCTCAGTATGTTGTTTCGATGCGAACGACAACCACCACCGCATGTCTGTTCGATTTCCAAACCCAATACCATCATGTCGCTGATTTGAAGTTCGTACGTTCCAAAGCAACTAATTCATTACTGCCATTCAATTTGCAGGTAAACACAATATTTGAATTCTCTTGAACTGTCTTTACTCGAATACAAATTGTTTCATATCTTGGGAATTATTCGTTCTCTTCCTCTTAGGCTGAACAAATACATACCGCCAACAGAAAACATTAAACATGTATTTATATTGATAATAAGTTTGTTCCAATCAGTGAAGTTTCTAAGTGTAAAATTAAACGATAATTGAGTAAATCGAAATACCGAAATAGCAAATGTATGGAAGATGTATGACATTGAGAAATAAAAAAAAACGTTCACCAGATTTTCCATTTTTAGAACATTAATTAATTACACTATAATCTTGAAATTAATTTGATGTGACAAATGGCGGATTAACCTCTATTGTGAAGTGTGGTACGATAAACGACTAGGGTTCAGTCTTCAGAGTGCTGCCGTATGACGACGATTAGATACAGTTTGTTGTTCGGATCTTGTTGCACGTATTGGACGAGTTAGTATCAGGCTAACCACGGTTACTAAATTTTAGTAACCGTGGGCTAACCTAATAAATTAGACAAACTTGTCAGACGACTCGATTATGCCCTGTCAAAGAGGGCGCTTTACCAGAAAATATCGGGGAACCATGCGCTTTATTATACGAGAAACTTCGTACTTGGTAATACTTGATGGCTGTAGCACTGGATCAAACTGTCCAATGGATTATAATGTTCCTGACAATTCTTATAATTGTCAAGTCTTTTTTTGAGATTCTGAAATGTTGTTTTCATAATCGACTACTTTCGACTGAAAAACAACAGCGTCACTACGTAATATTAATTTATTCTATATCGTTCCTGATTACCACAAAGAAAACTTAGAAAGAACTTTCGTGTGCTGAAGGTATTGGAGACATGAAGTTAGTACACGTGCTTCTATTAGAGCAAATACAGCATTTAAAAAATAACTGCAAGCAATTATCTGATTGGTCCCAAGTAGCTATGGTTTAACAATTATAAATAGTTAATGAATTAATGACCTCATAGGATGACTTGATATACATGACCAAAATTATATCACAAGTTGCATGTCTCTATCAGCAACAGTACTTATATCATGGAGCATCTATGTACCTAGTTAAAATGTTAAGATTAGTATTGGAAACATCAACAGAAAAGCTGAAAATTTACTAATTATTCGAATTGGATAATTAATATGCATGAATATTAATACTTATCAGGTCTGTGCAGTGTCCTATGACATCTATGTACCAAGTTTCATTGTAATGTGATAATTAGTACTTGAGATATCAGTGAAAAGCCAAAAAATTACTAATCATTATGCAAATTAGGTAATTATTATGTACAGATTTGTTACCCTAAACTAATCAGGTCTGTGAATAGTCATAGAGCATCTATGTACCAAGTTTCATTGTAATGTGATGATTAGTACTTAAGATATCAGTAAACAAGTCAAATTTGACAAATCATTATGTAAATTAGGTAATTCATATGCATAGGATTTCTACCCAAAACTAAGGTCTGCACATTGTCCAAGAGCATCTATGTACCAAGTTTTATCAAAATCCAAAGACTAGAGTGGTTCTTTAGAAATCAGTGGAACAGTCATGGAACAGCTAAAATCAGCTAATTATCATGCAAATTACGTAATTGATAAGCACGGATTTCAACCAAAACTTAATCAAATCTGCGCATTAGTCCAGAGCATCTATGCATCAATTTCTTTTCAAAAACCAACATATGGTTCTTGAGATATCAGTGGAACAGACAGCCACACGCACACATACAGACAGGCTAACTGCAAAGGCTTCCATTGTGTGCTTCGCACACGGGAGTCAAAAATCACACCATTCAGGAAAGTCACGTCTACTGAGATACAGTAATGTGGTTATCGGTGCAAGACGATGATATAGTCAATCTAATCGAAATATCCAGACACGATGCTTGGTGCGATGCAGGATACTTATATATATATATCGATGTTTGTAGTGGTGAAAGCTCAATTAATTAAAAAATTGAAGATGTGCGCTTATTTTACTGTCAAATCTTTTGAATCTTTAAAAATGTCCAAATATGGCCATCTATAGCGAGCTTGGGAGATAAAGAGGCAATTATATAAATCGACGGATTTAAAAGCATCTTTCTAAATCTCTTGGTTTGGGAAATCCACACAAATTGTTATTTATCAAACTATTGTTATAACTTGTAAAAAAAATATAAAAAAACGTCAATTAAAAATAACATTAACAAAATTTTTTTAAAAATGCTCATAATATAATAGCAAAGGTCACGAAATGTCGACAACGGGCTTAGTAACATTAAAATAAACTTAGAGCATATGGAGAATTCAAATCAAGCATCCGATTATAAAATTACGTTACGGGTATAGAATGCAACACTATAAGAAGTCTTAACAAAATAGCCTCGCAAATAAATTCTATCAAGAAATAAAGTTGAAGGATGAAAAATGGTGAATCACGATGAAAAGAAAGGGGTGACAATTTATTTATTTTTACTAAGCAAATTATTTAAACAATTTCTATGCACCGAGACAAAAACATACATAAAACATATCCCGGTTGTTGTTATGCGATATCAAAAAACGTAACGTATTTTCTACCAAAGAGGGCACTCTACCCAGAAAAGACCCGGAAATGCATTACACTATTACCCCAACATTTTCCAAGAAATGTTGACTGTATTCACTGCGTACTATTATTTATTCTGATCACTGGCATATTTTCTGTACTGCTCAGAACAGTCATGTCTAATGCACGTATGCGTTTATCGGTACCAGACGACGAAATAGTCAATCTAAACGTTGGTGGAACGTTGTACAGCACGACCAGATCGACTCTGACGAGATATCCAGACACGATGCTTGGTGCGATGTTCAGCGGTCGAATGCCGAGTCTGAAAGACGCTCAAGGAAACTATTTTATCGATCGTAATGGCGATATGTTCAAATACATCCTGGAATTTCTACGCAATGGGTCGCTACCAGAAGATTGCATAGATTCAGCCGCCTTATCCGTGGAAGCAGATTTTTATCAGATGGTAGAACTGTCGGAATATCTGTCGGGACTGGCGACACCAGGGCACCCAGTGACCGAAGAATTTTTTGTAGTGAAGTCTACAAGTTTTTTTCCTGCTAATGAAACAGAACTAATGTCAGGGCAAAGTATTATTTATGCATCCGTTGATGTATTGAAATCCCTGCCTTCTATTAAACGTTTTTATGATAAACATGAAGATGTACGACAACGTTTGGCGAAAAAGTGGCAGGAACAAGAAGCACGCCGGAGTTCGGGTTTACACTATTATGTTGGGGCTGAGATACCAAAACCAAAACCATGGCAAAGTGAAGTAGATGGGTTAGCGTGCGAACATCGTTATGACACGTCTATTGTGCGTATAAATCATCTTGAAGTTTTCAAAGATCTGACTAGTATTGGTTTTCGTCTCGTCAGTACCACGGTACACGGGTCAGCGGAATACGAGGTGAACTATTGGACATTTAGCCGCGTGGTGCAAAATTTAAGTTCACCGTGACCATTTTACCGTTCCGAACTCACATGTAAGGTAAAACCACGGTAAAAGTGCCCATGTTGCCAAAAAAAAAAAAAGAACACCTGCATTTTCATTTGCTACATTTCTGTTACATTGTATAAATATACGTTCATCATTCTTAGTAAGCCTGGTTTTAAATTCACTGCTAATGGCATTTTAGAAAGCAATATATTGTTCTAGTATTATTAAATATGTACTCAAATATCTGTCTGATAGTTAATATACCTAGTGTGTTGTTAGTACCATATGCTGTATGTGAACTTGAATATACAAGGCAAAACCAATGCATACAGGTTTTCTTCATTTGCTTGTTATCTGTTATATCTGTAAGTTTAGAGTATTCACAAAATATTTGATGGTACAGTGAAGAAATGAATGTTATAAGAGGAATTTATAAAACATACATGTATTTAAACATTTACTCTAGAAATTTGGTAACGCCAACACCCGCACGTCTATGCGAGTTTCCTTCAGACAGTGACTGATTACCGGTAACTATT